AAGTCAAACATATAAAAAAAGTTCCAAATAGTGTACCTAGGCAAACTTTACATATCCCAAAATGAAAATGGCATAGAAAAACCAAGCTATGCCTTACAACTTCAAAAGCAAAACAAAGCAAGCTAACACTGGCATACATGTGAAATTACACAAAAGGGTATCCAAAGCTACCAAGCCAACCTAGGGATGTTGTGCATCCCAAATCAAGGTCTTCTTACCTAAAAAATATCCCAAACAATTAGGGTGAGTAAACAAGTTACTCGTAAGAAGAAGTACATGCGTATACCCTATGGTTTCAAGTGTCATGTAAGTTCAAAATAGATCAATACAAGGGATCATTCCACCTAACGTCTAAATTGCAAGGTGAATTAAGGGATCATCTCAAGCTACTTCGAGTGATTGAAATGAAAACGACAATATACAAGTATACAATGCACAAGTATACTATACAACATTGAAACCTCATGCACCAAATCACAAGCTACAAGTAATCAACGATTAACAACTTGGAATTGAATGTGAAATCAAGTAGTGGAATATCTTAGACATGGAATCCCATAATTTAACCAAGACGTTAGTGATTTTGGGTTACTAGCCCACAAGGAGCAACCTAGTACGCACTATATGGGGAGAACTTGTATCTCCTACACTAAAGCCTTACTTTAGCCGTTAAATGAACAATGCCCCAAGTCTTTCCAAAATCAACAATAAGTACAAAACTTATACTCAAATAAATAATGCATGAAACCACCTTCCATGCATAAATAGAGTTGCAACCACACACCACATGTCCTAGGGTTTCACGTCTACAATGGCATATAAAATGTCGAATCTTCAATGTGTGATTCGTTACACACAACAATGGCATAGACAATGTCGAATCTTCAATGTGTGATTCGCTACACAATACAATGATCTTATATATCATGCTAAATCAATTCACCATCAAAGCAAGTCACAAATATTACATTGACAACAACATAGTAATAAGTTTGCAAGGTAAATATAGTAATATTCTACAAGAGTCCATTATCACAACAAGATAAATCTCTAGAATTTGGTAATCTAGTAAATGAAACAATTTACTTATAACAAGCTAAATATGCATCACATGCTTTGAATCATTAAATCCTAAGTCAATGACATAAAATTTACATCTAAATGCAATCCTACAATTCAATAAGCATGTATACAATATATAAAGAATCTCAAAAACACTAAACACAAATGAATATAAACATACAATCACCCCCTACCTCACTAAAGTAACAAGCTCTAGAATCCAAGGCAAATGAACTCAAATGGTGAAACAAAACAAATATGTTGTAGGGAATCAAAAGAGGAATGTTTTGTCTTCCAAGCACCAAGCCAAATGGTGTGAGGAAGAAGGCTAAAACAAAGGAATGAAAGCTAGGGTTCCTAAGATAACAATGGTGGCAAAAGAAAAAATGTGAGGAAGAGAAAAGAGTTAGTGGAGAAAGTTGTATTTCTCCACTAACTAAAGGCTTTGATAGCCAAACACACACACACCTACACTACCTCTCTCACACACAAACACAAGACTTAATCTAGGCCTTCCACTTGTCATCAAGCTAGGCCTCCTCATAAGATTAAATCCACCACCAACACTTGTCACCATCTTAGGCCTCCTCACAAGGCCTAATCCAAGCCCTACACTTGTCCTCATCCTAAGCCAACAAGTGCACCAATCATAGGCCACCAAGTGGGTGAATCCTCACCCTCCATATACCATCATCCAAGGCTCCCAAGTGTCACCACTAGAATGCCTACAAGTGGACCAATGAGAGTGTGACACTTGTCACACTTTTTGGAAAGTGCCAAATAGGTCCCTCCCCAAAATATCTCACAAAATAAATTACAAAAAGGTCCCTAAGACCAAAAATATCCAAAAAGATAATTATGCAAAACACCCCAAGAAATGAAAATGTTTCTTAAGAAACTATGCATCCACATCCCTCTGGGAAAAGTAAACAAGTAGCATATTTTTCTACAAAAGTAAGATTATGCATTTCATGGAAATCAACCTAAGTGGATGCACATGAAGTCGAAAATCAAATCCGAGCAGAAAATCAAACTCAAAACCCTACCTTAGGTCTCCAAAACCCTAAGATTACACAAAAAAAGAAAAATGCCAAAAAAAAAAAAAAAAAAAAAAAAAAAAAAAAAAAAAAATGAGGAAAATGACCAGGTCATTACACCACAAGCATGCTCATCATAGAATTTTATATCATTACAATCATGTTAGCATTTGGAAATTAACATTCTTGCAACTTGGAACACCATGCTTCACACTTAGCACTTAAGGCACATTCAATTACAACATTTAGCATGCTTTCATCACATCATCTTCAACTATCATCTTATTCACAAAACGTGCATTCTCTATGAAGCAAATGAAGAATCAATGAAGATTATTCAATAAATAAAAGGCAAAGTTTAAGGCATAAGAAATCCTTACCTCAAATTAATGCAACCAAACAAGCCCTTAGCCTATCCCTAATTTCGAATTCCTCTAAACCCATGCAAGAGTGGCGTCAAATGGAAGCCCCCTCCAAGCTCTCCAACTTCTCCTTCTATGGTTTCATCAAATCCTACTCTAAACCCTCCAAATCCAAGCTTTAAATCATGCAATCATATATGTGTATAGATGTAGAAATATAGAGAGAGGAAAAGAGAAAAGGTAGAGAGAGAAGGAGAAGTGCCGAAATGAAGAGGAAGACAAAGGTCGGCCTAGTCTTGCAAATGCATGAATGGCTCCCCTTGAGACAAGTGTTAACAAATTGATGGATACTAACTTTTGGTAAACTTACTCATTTGCCATTACTCTTCCATTCCAATGCCAAGCTTATCCCCGAAATATCTACCACAATATTTGCATATGTGCATATGTATATGTGTATGAAATGACCACAATGCCCCTCATTTAAAATGAGAAAATCGGTATGAGTTACTGAGTTCGATAATCGTCCTGACTTCCGAAAATTTCTAAAAATGATCCCGTCGCCTCTAATTGACTTAAAATAAATAAGAATTCATTTCTAAAACTCCCGAATCGAGAAATGACCTAAATGGCCCTCGAGGTCCGCGTGGCACGCAAAATGAGGCGCAATAAATAAATAAAAGAAAATTTTAAAAAAAATTCAAATAAATCCGGAACATTATACGTACATCTATGTGTGTGTGTGTGTGTGTGTGTGTGTGTATATATATATATATATATATATAACAATGAGATAATGAAGAGGTGGTGATTGTAAGTGGTGGCGACATAGGTGTTCAAGGGTATTTAAAATTAGTTAGAATGAATATATTGGTGATTCACAAGTGAAAGTGTAATAAAATCAATTAGACATGTGTTAAGAGGTAACAGGTGATGGGGTGTCCTTGTCAAATTTATTAAGGGGTGTCATCATGTAGAAAAAGTCTAACTTGTATATTACAGGGGTGTCAATGTAAATTTTTTTTTTTTTTTTCCTTCCTCCCGAAAAGGGTTAATCATACGGTCAAACTTAATATCTATGCACGAATATGCCGACACATCACCAGTTTGTCAATACAAATTTTGATCTTTAAGGCCTTTCTTATACATTAGGGTTAATTTCAGTCACACCTCCTCAGATTTGGCCATTTTTCACCCTCAAACTTCTTTCAAAATAACTATCACTTAAGTCCATTTCTATTTTTCTGTTAGAGAGTCCGTCAAATACAAGGGAAAAGACAACTTTGCCCCCAAATCTTTAATCCTATGTTTAAATGACTATAATACCCCTACAACCACCTACCACCACCACCACCACCATCTACACAACCGGCGCCACCATCACCATGACCGGTGACAGCCAGCGCCGCCGCCGCCACCACCACAACAGTGACAGTCATCGCCATACTCATCCCTCAACCACTAACACACACATGCTATTGCCACCACGGCTGGAGTCGCCACTGCTGACAGCTACCACCACGACCCCCAATTCGAACCCCAAATCGTAACCCCAAATCAAACCCACATCGATGTATTAAACCCAAAAAGGACGAACACAGAAGATCGGATATGCCGGCGGTGATGAACTCGATAAACAGACTTGATTGAAAGACAGCGAGAGAATCACGGCGGCACCATTGGTCAGAAAGAAGACGACGAACCAGAGGGCTGCGACACCTCCGTCCTCATTTCCTCCACTCCCACAACAAAACCGAACGTGACACCAAGATCAGCCTTTCCTTCCCCGGCGATGCCTTTGCTGTTGCTGTCCGCGCCAAGATTACCCTCAAGCTCGCCAGCCCTGCCGTCATCTCCTATGCCGACATCATCGTCGTCGCTGCCCGGGAGCTCATCACCATGATGGCTCGCCTGCCCCGCCGTCGCCTCCTGCGCTTGCTTCGCCGCCGTCTCCAGCGCCGAGATCTTGGCCAATGTTTGTGGTGGTGTTGTGCTTGTGTGTATATATATATATGTCTTTCTCTGTGTGTGTGTAGATATATATATAATTTGGAAATTTATAAAATTTTGAAGGATATTTTAGTCTTCTAATCTAATAGTTTAGATTAAAGAGTTATTTTAACAAAAGCAAAAAGTATTTAAGTCATTTAACATCGTGTCAAAACTGTTCAAAAAAAAAATCGTAATGTCAATGATGGGGGGAGGGGGGGGGATGACTTGTGAATAAAATTAACCCTATAAATTAAAGATCACTTCCTTGATTTTTTTTATTAAATATTTATTTAAATGGGAGAACAGACCTCTTAAGGTAGACGGATTACACAACACAATTGAATCCAGTGACAGAAACCTTATAAATTGGTGAAGATAACCAATATCTCCTAATAAGCTCAATTTCCATATACTTTATTATTAGACGAGATGTCCAAAATCTGAAGATTCATACCATTGTTTATCCACAATGTTTAGACTTTTCAAACTATATAAACAGTTCAAAACAATTCCTTGAACAAAGAACTATAATACACCCAAAAGGAGAGACGAGTACAACATGATAAAAACTTCATTGATCATGATACTAGCAATATGTTATACTTTTGGTAAGATAACGGAAGCAGAATCAACTTTTCCACAAAAACAATATCCCACTTCTGATCACATCAAGAGTGAGTGGAATATTGGAATTAATCTACTGCTCTGTTATTTCCTAAAAAGAGTACAAGTTCAGTTTCTGTTGGAATTGAACGTAACTGATCCTACCATCAAGCTACAAAAATGTGGCCACCACAAAACGGCAGCAGAGCAGGCATCCAAAACTATCAATCAAAACTAGGTCAAATCCACTTCCCCTTCAGATTTGGACAAAATCAGTAGAGCAGGCGTCCAAAACTATCCATCTAAACTAGACTATGTACCTCACACTTGAGGCTCAGGCTGCTGTCTGTACTGGATCATCTGACCTGAAATCCTGACCACGGCCACGCCCTCGCCCTGTAACTTTCCAAACAGTTTACGTTAGGAAAAGGAATAGACAAAAAAAAAAAAAAAGATGAATTTTGACAATTTGTCAAAACAGATAAACCGAGCAAAATTTTGCAGGCTAAAACAGCATGTATTTGCAGATTCAGCAACTCTGGTGCCACTATGCCCAATATCAGATATCAAAACCATCCAGCATAAGATGAATTTCTAGGCGTCATAAACTTCAGCCTCACACAATCCTTAAAAGGTGCGGACCTTGATCAATTATTCCAGAAAGCAAGGCAACACATAGTTTTACCTTGGGAAGGCAAGGAGAATGGAAATTTATAGAGAAGAAATTAAGAGCAATGTTAAACAAGGAGACAAGCTCTTAGGTACTTTGAAAAAATCATGACATAATGGTTGTAGAAGATATTTTCTTATTAATCATTAATAGTAAACAAAATTTTAAGCAAAGTTAATAAAATAATAATAATAAATAAATAAAGAGACAGAGAGAGAGAACACAGGTTAAGTTGCAACTCGGACAAAGTATATGGTACAAAGAAATAAAGACCAATTTCTGCCAAGATTTCAAAGAAGTACTTTTTCATCATAATTATGGGCATTGGCATGTACGCACTTTATGTATTTGAAATCTAAACCACCTTGGAGAAGCCCGATCACAAGGTAAGCATGAAAGGACATAAAATGTTTTTCCATGTCGAAGTAATTACTTAGTGTGTTTAAGCTTCTTAGTTACTATTTCTGACTACGCGATAAAAATAAAAAGATCATTTTATTACTCAGATGACAAGAAGATAAATTTATCTAGCATGAAAAAATGAGCTTACCGCGTCCTTGAGCAGGCATTGCCCCTACTCCAACGTAGTCATTGTAATCACCCCATTGTGACTGCATATTCCCACCATTATAGCCTCTTCCACGTCCACGAAAACCACGGCCTCTTCCACGACCTCGACCTCTTAAACCATATCCACGCCCACCTTCCCAGCCACCATCTCCATTGTACTCCATAACTCCATTGATATTGCTCCCCGTACCTACAAGAGAAGATGATTGATTACAACCACTGTTCTTCACACTGAATAGATGATGCAAGTATATAGAACAAAATAGCTGCAGATCAAGCAAAAAAACTACAGCTAAGGGGCCAAGGATTTTAAAAATTGGCTGTAGATCCTATAACAGATATTGCTTATAAGACCTAATATGATCCCTTTTTTTTCTTTTTTTTCTTTTTTTGACAAGTAAGATTACATTAAAGGCGCTCAAGGTGGGGGAGCCCTCCCAAAGGAAAACAAAAGACACACAAGGAGACACTAATTTCAAGCTATCCACAAAGTCCAAAAGATGCCCCATTAATTAACAGATTGTCCCATTGGCCTGAAAAAATAAAGTAGAAAGAATATTCTATTTGAGAGACCAAACAGGGGACTCCTCTCCATCAAAGGATCTCCTATTCCTCTCACGCCACAAACCCCACCATAAACAAAGGGGAGTGGCCCTCCACGCATCCCCGGCTCGGTTCTCCACTATACACCCTCTCCAAGCCTCTAACATGTCAACCATAGACACGGGAAACACCCAAACCATGCCAAACATAACCAAGAACATAGACCACACATCCTTTGCCAAAGGGCAATGAAGGAGGTGATTTACTGACGACTCCATCTTCTTGCACATGCAACACCAGTTCACGACTATCTGTCCACCTTCAACGGGGCTTTCGTCCTCCAAATTTCCTTCCAAGGGGAAGGTTTAGCCTAAGGTCTCCGTCAAGCTATGGTAGGGACTTAACCCCAAAAAAACCTCTAGGGGTGCCCCCATCCATACCCTCACCCTCCATTAACTGACTGTAGAGCAGCTCAAAGAGCTCATAAACCTGACAGTTCCCAATCATGAACCTCTCTACAAAACAGAACATCCCCAGTCATCCACCCATTATCAAGCCCAGATAGCCACCAGTGCATGCAGTCACGGTTATCCCAGAACTAACGTGAAATTCACATGCTGACGGGCTGAGAGTGTCTCAATTCCCCACCACTCGGGCTGATAAAAGAAACTGATAGGAGCTACTACAGATTATATTGGGAAGATTGGAAAGCTGCAAGCTTATGAAGCTTAAGGAAACTGTTAACAACCATCTACTTTAAAAGCTTAAGCTTTTGAAGAGGGTGCAACTTTTATGTTTATATCCTTCAACACACCCCCTTTTTCATAATTGGTGTTGTATTATAGAAGAAAGAAAAAATTACAGGTGCACAGAGGGCATACCCTCAGAAAAAAGAGACTAATCCCTCTGAGAAGCCCACTTCCAGTAAAATCAGGAGGTGGAAGAACAATCTGATACAAGAAATTCAGAAATTGAGACATGATGGACATCAAGCACCTCAAAGAGGATATTTCTAGCAAGTATAGCAGGAGTAAGAGAGGATGAACCATGAATTCTACTATTCCTCTCCCGCCAAATGCCCCATAAAGTTGCAATGAACCAGCTTCTCAACACCTTGGACTTGTTGTGCCTCTGCCTGAACCACGTGAACCATTCACACAGTGGATTATTTCAACATGCCCCCTCCCGTGTGGCCGCTTTTTTTTGGTCCAACACGTGTTTTCAATTTTTAATTAGGGTGATGGTAAGGTTTGAACTCAAGACTTTTGGCTCTGATATCATGTTAACAACTGTTAAATTTGGATGCGGAAATAAGAAATGCAAATAGGAAAAGGAATGAGAGAAAACATGGAGATTTACATGGCTTGGCACTAAGGCCTACATCCATGGACAAAGAGCCACTAAGGACTACATTTTTATTATTTAGATCAGTATATTGCTCAAGTACAAAAAGCCTATATATAGGCATGGTAAAGATAAGATATATGGAAGGTGTACAATAGTCAAAGGAGGCACCATGATTGGTGGAGGATTTTGCTACATGATTATATAGAAATATTTATATATTTCAACACCAACCATCTATTCTAAAAGCTTAAGCTTTTGGATAGGTGCAACTTTAATATTTATATCCTTCAACAGAAACAATGCTAGCAAGACTGTCATCAACTGACTCGTTCATGCGGATAGGCTTATACTTGGCATACTTATGTTTTCCATAAAATTTTCAAACTTGTATTTTTGAGTTCAATGGTATAAAACACGTATTAAATGTTCTATGTATTATACATCATGAAAAATACTTCACTTGCATAAATTTTTTTTAGAAAGTTTACATTGTCTTCAATCATTTTATAACTAGAAAAATCAATATTTTAAAGAGCGTACAATTATAATAGAAAACTAATAGTTTTATATCTCATTAGCCATAACAAATATCATATCAGACAATATATATCTAGGTATATTGTTCAATGTTATGAACAGAAATTTAACCAAGGAGGGGACAGGTCTTTTCTGTTGAAGGAGGAGGATTGGTGGGAAAGGAAGGCGAAGGGTAGGGAAGTAGCCGAGGCAGCTCATCGTGGGAGGGATGGCCGGAATTTGCAAAGGGCTCCCATTTGCGGTGGAAGAAGAAGAGGTCGTGATTCCAACGCACGCCGTGTGAGTGAGTTTGGCCCAAAGCAGGGAGGAGTACGTGGTGGGTTGAGGATGCCTTATCCTCTGCACAGAGGGCCAGCTGTCTAGGGAAGGATAGATTTGAATTTCAAACATACGATGCTTGACCCCTCCCGCACGCGGAGGGCACATGGCTCTTTTAATCAGCAGGGTTGGGCTGGGCCTTTTGGTAATAATATGGTGGTGAATGGTTCTGGGCCCGAAGCCTTCTCATCTTTTAGGCCTAATATGAATGGCCCTTCTCTGTCTAAGCCCAATGTGATTAGTAACTTGCATCTGGGCCAGCCATGCACGCCGTTGGACTCCAGGTGTTCTAATGTTTCATCAAGATTATTCAAGAAGCCCGATGTATTTGCAAAGTTAAGTGGGCATCAGTCGAGAGGTTTGGAGGCATAATCTTTTGGGCCTACTGTTGGTAACTCGTTTGGGCCTCTTTCTGGTTTTGATCATAGCCCAGTCGCCGTTGTACATGAGGCTAATGGCTTAAGTAACAGAGAGATTCCGTGCCATCAATGCAGCGAAGAGATGACCAGTGCTCGATCAAAGAATGGTGCTGAGTCGACACGACAATCATTCTCTCAACCACCCCGATCAAAAGGTAGAAGATGGTCTCGCAAACAAAAACAGAAATGGGTGAAATCGTCCCCTATTCACCCTGCTATGTCTTTTGGCCTTTCTTCTCAGACCTCTACCCCTTCTTCTTCGTCTCCTTCTCGTGGGGTGTTGAGGAGTTTTGATGGGGAGTTTGGTGTCGGAGAGTCAAAAACTTTCAACGGTATTTGAATTGGCCTCTGAGGGCTGTTTGGAAGATAGTCAGTTTCATCTGGGCATACTGGGGCCCTTTCGTGCTTCAGTGGTGATCCGGCTGTAATGAAAAGTGATCAGATGAAGATCCTTTCAAGTGGTAGAGACAATGGGAGTGTGGTTTTACGTTATGGGAGTGTGGTTTTACGTTTTGGAAGTAGTACCAAGGTACCAATTGGTACGAATTGGTAAAGCTTCAGCGGATGCTCTTCAGGCAGAATTGCAACTTCACTGTGAAGGGTTCAGGGACAGAATTGAAGAATCAAATTTATTGGAGGTTGGTGGTACCTCTGAGGACAGAGTATCCTGTCTTCCTGGGGTGAGGGAAATGGATGACGTGCAGTCCAGTAAAGGTGATGTTTTGTCTCTTGTCGAGTTTGCTGGGGATACTGAGATTCCGACACCAGTTTGAAAGATGAATGAAATTGTAGGGATTGATATCCCACTGGCTGTGGTCCGGGATCCGCAAAGACCATTCATATGGAAAGAGCATAAGGGGAGTGGTTTATGGACTGTATTGAAGGGGCGGGTAACTTGCCGGGCCTGTCATGTGAAAGGAATGATAATATTGTGCATGAGATGTTTCAAAAGGTTGATGATGAGTGGGCTGTGGTGAATCACAAAAGTCTTCTTACTGGAAGGGGGGAGAGGGAGCTCAAAAATCTTATTTCCAGACCTCCCTTTCAACACGTCAACCTTCTAAACCCATCTCTTGTCCCAAAGAACCACTATACCCCCCGAGAACCCCTCCGCATCAATAACCTCCCAATCCACAAATCTGCCCCCCCAAAGGCTCTTCAACACTCTATCCGTTGTGCATGCAAGTTTGGACTCTTGCAGGCACACCACCCGCGCCTCCCATTTACGAATCAAGGCCTTCACCTCCTTCCTCTTGTCCTTGTCATTCAAGCCCTGAATGTGCCAAGACACAATTTTGAGCTTCATAGGCAAACAATCTCTTTCCCCCTTCCTCTCCTTCCCCCTTTCATCTTGTCACTCCCCCCTCCATTCTCCCCTCTCTTCTTCTCACTCCCTCCTCCACTCCTCCCCTCATAGTTCATATGTCTTCTATCTCCCTTTTATTCTCCTTGGAGGAAGATGGTTCGCCTTGGGTGTTTCGGGTGTTTATGAAAACAGTTGGTGATGTGGATAGGAGGGGGCTGTGGGAGGAGTTGGTGTTTGCTAGCCAAAAGTGGTCTACCCCGTGGTGTGTGGGAAGGGATTTTAATGTTGTGTAGGTGCCAAGCGAGAGATCTACAAGGGGAGATGGACTCCAGCAATGACAAAGTTTTCGGATTTCATTGATGCTCATCATCTCATTGACATTCCGATGGAGGGCAGACGTTTTATATAGTCGAGTGGTAGAGAGGCCCCTACTTTATCTCGCTTGGATAGATTTTTTATTTTTGGTGAGTTTGAGGAGAAGTTTCTAGATGTGTCTCAAGTGGCGATGGCTCGAGCTGTTTCAGATCATATTCCGATTCTTCTGGATTGCGGAGGAGTGCGAAGAGGGAGATCCCCGTTCCAATTTGAGAATATGTGGCTTTGAGTAGAAGATTTCAAATCAAGAGTTCCACAGTGGTGGTCTGGCTATAAGATTATGGGCAGTCGAAGTTTTTTTTAGCAACAAAGCTTAGACTACTGAAAGGGGGCATCAAAACTTAGAATAAGGAGGTGTTTGGCAGTGTTGTTAAAGGCGCGCCTAGGCTCGAGGCTCAGGTTTAGCGCCTATTGTCATCCCAGGCTCACTGATGTTTACTAGTTGCGCGCCTCGGTTGCGCCTCGTCCTGTTTGTGAGGTGCGCCTAGGCGCGCCTCACTGATATTTGTTTAAAAAAATACGATTATTCTATTTCTTAAACCAAAAAGGGTACTTTTGGCAACTTAATAAACAAAAAAGAAAGTTCAATCATATGATATAACAAACTATTGTTCAAAAGAATAAAAAAATAAGAAAGCCCAAGAGTCGAAGTGTTAACCAAACAACGATAGAATGAGATTGCGAGACGAAGATGAAGCCCTAGTTGCAAAGATGAACGACGAAGCCACGTCAATTCTTTCTTTTCGTTTTTTTTTCTCTCTTCTCCTCTAGATCTCTCCTCTCTTCTTATATTTGTTTACATCTCTCTCTTCGTCTAGTTCTCTCATCTCTCTATCTTTTTTTTTTTTTTTGCTTTGTTTTTTCTTTTTTTTTTTCTTGTTAACAAATTTTTTTTTTTTTGTTAACATATTTATTTCTTTTTGTGCTTTGTTTTGCCATTCAAAAAACACATTTTGCTTTGCTTTTCAAGAAAACAAATTTGTACTTTGTTTTATGGTTGTTGGATGCTTGTATAGTTGATGGATTTACTTTTTTATATTTGATATTAATTTTTAGAATATTGATATGACTTATGCGATATGAATGTTATTATGGTAGTTTAAATTTTCAATTGTGCGCCTCGCCTCACTCAGGCACGCGCCTCACCATGCGCCTCGCGCCTAGGCTCCAAAGGACCTCTAGCGCCTTGGTGCGCCTTAGGCCATTCATAACTATGGTGTTTGGCAACCTAGAATGGCGCAAAAATAGAATCCTTCTTGAAATTTCAAATCTTGACAAGGAGGGAGAGGAATGCCTTATTGATTTGAAGGCGAGCAGGAGAGAGGAATGCAAGGCAGAGTTCAAACAAATTGTTGTGATGGAGGAGATCTCGTGGAGACAGAAGTCTAGTGCCCTTTGGTTGAAAAAGGGTTATACGAAAATTTTTCATCGCCTGGCAAATGCACATAGGAGAGGGAATCATATTGGGAGGACTCGTTTTGAGGGGACTTTGGTGACGATGGACTAGGATGTCCGGAATGGTTTTGTGGCTTTTATCATAAGCATTTCACGGAGACTGCTAGTTGGAGGCCATTGCTGGATGGGCCAGAGTTCTCAAGGATTTCCATTGAGGAGAGGGACTGGCTTGAGAGGCCGTTTGGGGAGGAAGAGGTGCTGGAGGCTTTGAGGAGTTGTGATGGTGACAAAGCCCAGGCCCTAATGGTTTCTCTTTGGCTTTTTTTCAACAGAATTGGGAAGTGGTGAAGCCTGAGGTGATGGGTGCTTTGTTTTCCTTTCATTCTGATGGGCATTTTCAGAAGAGCCTCAATGCATCATTTATTACCCTGACTCCAAAGAAGGGGGGTGCTATTGAGGCTAAGGACTTTAGACCGATTAGTTTGATGGGTGTTATGTACAAGATCCTTGCTAAAGTCTTAGCTTTCCGTCTGAGGAGAGTTTCGGATGAGGTGATTTCGGAATCCCAAAATGCTTTTATTCGCGGTCGTCAGATTTTAGACTCAGTCATGGTTGCAAGTGAGTGTTTGAGGGCAAGAGTTCGCAGTGGCATTCCGGGGGCTGTTTGAAAGCTGTGTACATTGAGAAGACATATGATCATGTTTGTTGGAATTTCTTAATGTATTTGCTGGATAGGATGGGGTTTGATCCTAGATAGAGGAATTGGATTTTCCAATGCATTTCAACCGCGCGATTCTCAGTCTTGGTTAATGGTTCCCCCACTGGTTTCTTCGCTAGCTCTCGAGGTTTGCGCTAAGGCGACCCTCTTTCTCCATTTCTTTTTATTATTGGCATAGAAGCATTCTATATATATTGATGAGGAGGGCAGAAGCGTTGGGTTTTATTCGAGGGTGGAAACAATCCTAATCAGCTTGTGTCTCTCGCTTTTTGCGGATGACACCATTGTCTTTCGTGATGCAAAGGTGGATCAGTTAAGGTTCTTGAGATGTGTTCTGGCCTGCTTCCAAGTCGTTTCAAGGCTCAAGATCAACATTGGGAAGAGTGAGTTGGTTTGTCAGAGTTGTCGAAGGAATTCAGGACTTGGCAAATATTCTTCTTGGGTGCGGTGTTGGTGCTTTCCCATTTTCCTACTTAGGTTTTCCTTTGGGGACAGTTTTGAGGAGGACTTCAGTTTGGGACCTGTGGTTGAGCATTTCGAGAGGAGACTTACATGGTGGAAAAAGAAGTATCTTTCAAAAGGGGGAAAGATTACCCTTATGAAGAGCACTCTTTCAAATCTTTCAACCTACTTTATGTCTCTCTTCCCGATGCCAAAGACTATTATTCAAAGATTAGACGAGATTCAAAGGAATTTTTTGTGGGGTGGTATTTGTGATGAGTTTAAATACCACTTGGTAAACTGGGAGATGGTGTGCTCCCCCCTCAATAAGGGTGGCTTGGGCATTCGGAGACTGGATTTGTTCAACAAGGCGTTGTTGGGTAAATGGCATTGGAGATTCGGGTGTGAGAGATCCCGTTTATGGAGGAGGGTCATTGCTTGCCGGCATAGGGAGGGTGATGGTGGGTGGTTGTCTAGGGAAGTTAGATTTCCAACAAATGTGGGCATTTGGAAGCTTATCCTGAAGGGGTGGGATGAGTTCTCCAAACGTATCCGGTTTAGAGTTCGGAGTGGGAGTCTAGTCAAGTTTTGGGAGGATCGTTGGTGTGGAGACTTTGTTCTGGCTCGTAGGTTCCCTCGTTTGTTCAAGATTTCTTCGAGCCGACATGTTTTGGTTGATGACTATTATCTGCTTGATAGCAGGAGGTTGACTTGGGATGTGAAGTTTCGTAGAAAGTTTCATGATTGGGAGCTCACGGAGTTAGCTGAGTTCTTAGTTTTTATTGTACAGACAGGTGGTGGAGGGGGTGGGGATGGATGAGATGGTCTGGGTGGGCACACCTAGAGGGGTGTTTGAGGTTAGATCTTTCTATTGCAGTCTTATGGAGATCTCGGGCCATTCTTTCCCGTGGAAGGCGATTTGGATGTCCAAAGCTCCCTTGAAGGTGGCCTTCTTTGTATGGTGCACCGCTCATGGTAGCATTCTTACTCTTGACAATCTAAGGAAGAGACGGAAGATCATAGTCAACCGGTGTTGTATGTGCAAGATGACAGAGGAAGCAGTGATCACCTTCTTCTTCACTGCCCAGTGGCGAGGGAGGTTTGGGCTACATTCTTGGTTGTGTTTGGTATGACTTGGGTGTTCCCAAGATACACAGTGGATATGATTGAGGCTTGGAGAGGGTGTCTAGTGGAGAGCTGAGCCAGGGATATTTGGAGGGCCACACCCCTCTGCTTATGGTGGGGTTTGTGGTGTGAGAGAAGTAGGAGATCCTTTGAAGGGGTGGAGACTCCTATTTGGACTCTCAAATATAGTATATACTGTATACTTCTTTTGGACTTTTTTGATAGCTTGAAGGTTTAGTTGTATCCTTTTGGGCACACTCCCCTCTTGAGCGCTTTCAATGAATTTTACTTATCAAAATAATTATGTAATTATATGTATTTTGATAAAACCATGTATTAATAAATGAGAAAATATAGATGAACTTTTTTTTTTTTTTTTTTTTTTTGGGTAAGTAAAAGAATAAGAGATCTAAGCAAATAAATATGCAATGTTTTACATTACTTTTACTATCAAGAATTCATTAACTCACCCTTTTAGTTTGATTTAAAATAACTAATCAAAAACAAAACAAGAAAAAGTGGCTGAAATAGTGCACTGACTCTAGGTCTGGATCATATATGGGTCATATCAGTTGTCATTTTCAACCCTTACCAACCAAAACCACAATGTCCAGTCCATTTGTGAAGCAGCCTTACAGATGGCAAGACACCGGTGGCAAGGTGAATAAATACCAGCAATATCAACTTCAAACTGAAGAGGAGCTGATAATGGTTGAAGCCGATGAGGGTGGTGACACAATCCTGGCAACACTAGACAAGGCTGCTACAGTTGCATTTCTTTGGTGCCTAAGGGATGCAGTCGTGACGGTGAGCAAACAGTGACAGCAAGATGGCTAGATGATGGTATCATGGCTAACGAGGGCAGCAGCTGTGATGGAAATGGTGGTGCAGTGAGTATGATAATGTCACAGCAATAAAGTCACAGGATGGCCACCGACAACAGACTGATCTCCACTCCTTGATTGATCATTAAGGATGATGCTTTATCGCACTCCAAACGGATCTGTAACATAGGTTGGTGTTTGGCAGGAAAACATAGAAGCTAAAGTCAACTGGCTTTGCAAAGGCAGGCTTTGAGTAAGAAACAATTGTAGTGATACAAGATGCACCGATTTTCATATGGATTAGTAATCTGAGAGATTGTGAGGAAAACTGGGGTTCGGGGAGAGAGAGAATTAAGAGAGAAGAGGATCAGTATTTCCTCAGGCACCAAATAGATAAAATTAAGAAATCCTTAGCTCTATCCTTGCATGTACGCGTAACTTAGATGCAGATCCTGAATTGTACCATCCACAAGAATCCCATCCTGATATCCATCATAGTGCCAAAGTCTACTGAACTGAATAATATTTTCAGTAATTTTTTCAATTATAAACTTATCATGATTATCTATCACATTACATACCAAGAAAACTTATTGCACTGTGCTTGTCAATATTCATTTCATCAAGACAAGAACATTTTAAGGGACTTTAATAACTCTTTTGCAATCATTGTTCATCAAACTTCCAAGCACCAACTGCAGAGAACATGTGAAAGCTAACACAGACTAAGAAGGGAACAAAAGATACAATTCACAAAAGGCACCATAAAACTTTTCCATTTCAAATAGAGATAAAGAAATAAATCAGAACAGAATTTTTTATCTCTACCTCTACCCCTTCCGCGACTACCACGTCCTCTCCCACGCGTGCTAGGAGAGCCCTCTGATTTTAGAGAACCAAGTAAATATTATAAACACATTCAAAAAAGAGTATAATCAGAAAAATATGATTATTGTATTACCTCCATAATCATTTTTGGTCCATGGTTTTACTTGATCAACTAGATTAGGTGGCTGGTACCTGCATTTGACCATATGTAGATTATAACCATTCATTAGTAATCCCAAGGATACAACTACAAGTGCAAAGATCCTACTTCATCAACCATGAGATGTGATACAACAAATGGTATAAAAAGGAAACAAAACAAATAGTAGCTAAAATTCAATGCAGTGTATCCATGTTGTTGAAATATTGTATTGTTTTTTATTTTTATTTTTATTTTTATTAGTTGTTTTCAGCCTTTTATTAGGTGTTTTATGTAAGATCCCTATTATCATGGAATCACGTAGATAAGATCCTCGTAATCATGCGATCACGTAGATTTTGGTATATTTCCTGTTTTTCTTTGATTTGGTTTCCTTTCTTTGTACCCTATTCTTGTATATAAATATAGCTCTTAGCTCTCAATTTGAGTATGCCAAAATCCAAAACTTCTTCTTTTTGGTATCAGAGCAAAACAAAGACCTTCACCTCCCCATCTTCCTCCCCAATGCCGTCACCTTCTCTCTCCCTCTCTCCATTTTCCCTCACCTCCGGCGCACCTCCATCTCCTCCCAACCCTTGCACCGGACCCCTCGGGTAACCCTCTGTTTTTTACTCCTATTTTATGAGAATTCCCTTAGGTTTTTTATGACCTAAGGGTCCTTCTGGTGTTTTTTTTCTTTGTGGGCTGACGGTGTTTGTTTGGCAGCATATTTGGAGGAAAGCGCCGATTTTTCCGGCTTTGTTTTTTTTCTCTTTCCCCCTGCTTTAACGTGTGGACCAGCCTTATTTTGGTACTATGACTGATTCTAGTAGCCAAAAGGACAATTTATCCTCGGTCAAGCATACTTTATCTTCGGCACATCATACTCCGGCACAGCGGGTTACTAGTGTGCTCCTGAATGGCCGCAACTTCGTATCCTGGTCCCGTTCTCTTCAACTCTATATTGGAGGGAAAGGGAAAACTGGTTGGGTTTTGGGTCTAGTCAAGGAACAACCGGAAAAGACGGATACTAAATATATTGCACGGGACATGGACAGGTGCACCATTCTGGGTTGGATCTACAACTCAATGGAGGAGTGTATCTATAATATGTTCATGTTTCACACTTCCGTTTTTCGTTTGTGGCAAGCCCTTAACAAGATGTATGCCCATTCCCGTAATGACGCTCGTATCTTTGAACTCTATCAGGAGATTGCTCATGCATCTCAGGAGACACTCAAGCTGTCAATATCAAAGTATTTTGAGTACCTCCAGTCTAGGTGGAGAGAATTAGCACAGTATGAACCTCTCTTCGATTTCTCTAAAGAAGCTGCAACTCTTTTGGTCAAGAGACTGGACCGCCAACATACCTACCAATTTTTTATGGGTTTACGATCTGGGTATGATGCTCTTAGAACTCAGATCATAAACACCTCTCCTATGCCTGATTTATATGATGCCTTCGCTACTGCTGATCATGAGGAGTGTAGAAGTCAAATCTCTCGGCCAGTAGCTTTACCAAATACTCTAGTTGATCAGATGGCTCTTGGTGCTAATTCTAGACTTTCAGAGGGAAAGGTTATTTGTCAACATTGTGGAGCCACGGGTCATGTAAAGGATCATTGCTTTAAGCTTCATCCCGAGCTAAAGCAGAAATTTTCTCGCAATCGTCCTTCTGGCCGTGGCCGCACTGCCACAGTAGCCGATACTATTGGTGGTTATACTACTCCATAGATTGTTGTCCCCCCTGCTTCAACTCCTCCCAGACCATCTTTTCAAGACTTCAATCAGTTACAGTGCCAGATTGGTCAGCTTCAGGAGCAGTTTGGAGATTTATCTACCAAGGCTGGCTCTTCTATTCCCAAGGCTACTACAGGTACTCCTGCTTTTCACGTTAAAGTAGGAAAACCTACTTAGGTCCCGGATTCCAGAGCCAATGATCACATGATTGGTGAGTTATCATTATTTTCTACTCCGTTACCCCTGTTTTTTTTTTTTTTTTTTTTTTTTCATATAAGTACTCCCGTTACCCCTGTTAATCAGGTTGTTAGTCTAGCCGATGGGTCAACCACCATTATTCATAGTAAAGAGATGTTCATCTATCCCCTGATATTATTTTGCCATCTGTTCTTCATATTCCTAACTTTGCATTTAATCTTCTATCTGTTAGCAAACTTGCCAAATCACTAAACCGTGCAGTGATTTTCTTTCCTCATTATTGTGTTTTACAAGACTTGTGTTCGGAGAGGATTTTTGGCAGGGATATGAGCACGATGGCCTCTACTACTTTAGGGATCCTCCACCGACACCTCCTCCATTTGCTTCAAGCCTCTGTTCTTCCAATTTCTAGATCTTCTGATTTTTCTTTTTAAACTTTAAATTTATGGCATGCTCGCCTTGGGCATGTAAACTTTCAGTATTTATGTATACTTTTCCCTTCATTAATAACGGCTTGTAAGAATAATAAGTTTCAATGTGAGATTTGTGAGCTTTCTAAACATACTAGAACTAGTTATATTTCTCATATGCATCGTGCACCTAGTATGTTTAATCTCTACATTCTGATGTGCGTGGTCCTTCTCCTGTTACTGCTTTTTCGGGACATCGTTATTATGCCACATTCATTGATGATTATTCCTGCTGCACACGTGTATATTTACTTTAAAAGAAATCTGAAGTTTTTCCCTTGTTCACTCAATTCCTCCAAATGATCAAAACTCAATATAAAATTGTTGTTAGGAATATTAAGTCTGACAATGGTCGTGAATATGTTTCCAATTAGTTACGGTCTCAACTTAACCAGCAGGGTATTCTTCATCAACTTACTTGTCCATATACCCCTGAACGGAATGGTGTGGCAGAGCGTAAAAACCGCCAACTAATGTCAATTGTTCGATGTCTTTTAAGTGGTACGAATGTGCCAAAGTCATACTGGCACATGGCGGTTCCTACAACTACTTTTCTCATTAATCGTACCCCTAGTAGAGTATCAAATGGTAAGGCCCCCTTACAAGTGCTTTAACCTGATATTACTCTTTTTTCCATCATGCCTCGGGTGTTTGGATGCACATGTTTTGTTCAGAATCATAGCCCTTCTCGTACTAAACTTGATGACAAGGCCATTAAATGTATCTTTTTAGGATACTCTTCAATGTCAAAAGGTTACCGGTGTTACAATCCTGTACACAAACACATATATCACTCTCTTGGTGTCACCTTTCATGAGCACACCCCTTTTATGGTTCTAACACTATCTTGCAAGAAACTTCTACTCCTGATCAAGAGGCTTCTCCTCCTGCTCGTCCTCTTCCTAGTTTTCAAGAAAAGTCTTCTCTTGTGGTTTCCTCAGCCCCTTTGCAGGTCTATTCTCGCCGCCCTCGTGCTCCACCTCCACTGCCTTCATCCTCCTCAGATACAGGTACAAGTACATTTCCCTGACCCTATTCATGAGTCTCTGTATCCCACTCGGGACCGCAAACCCCTTGCTCGATTGGATTCGTTTGTAATATTGATCATCCTATTTCGCAGTATATCTCTTAAGATGGTCTTTCAGGATCTTATCGAGCCTTTCTAGGCAAATTTGATTCCATTTCCATTCCCAGAAATGTCTCTGAGGCTCTCCGGAATCCCAATTAGATGTCTGCTATGATGGTAGAAATGGATGCTCTACAGCAAAATGAAACATAAGAGCTTGTATCTCTCCCTCCTGGCGAAAAGACTGTTGGTTGCAAATGGGTATTCAGTGTTAAATATCTGGCCGATGGCTCTATTGATCGATATAAGGCCCGCTTGGTGGCCAAAGGGTTTACTCAGATTCCTGGTAAAGACTTTAATGATACCTTCGCTCCAGTGGCTAAGTTGACCTCAGTTCGTTTGCTTGTCTCTTGGCTGCCTCTCACAATTGGCCTTTTCATCAGCTTGATGTGAAGAATGCTTTCCTTAACGGTGATCTTGAGACTATTTATATTGATTCTCCACCCGGTTTTCGAGCTGAGGGTGAGTATGCTGGAAAGGTCTGTCGATTACAGAAGTCTTTGTATAGGTTAAAACAATCTCCCAGAGCTTGGTTCAACCGCTTCAGTGATGTCATTCTATTCATGGAGTTTGTTAGATGCCATTCTGACCATACATGTTTTATCCACCGTTCCTTCACTGGTCGATGTATCATTCTTCTTGTCTATGTTGATGATACCATCATTACTGGCAATGACATCCCTAGGATTACTCAAGTAAAGCTTCAATTAGCTAAAGCTTTTGATGTGAAAGACCTTGGGAAGCTCAAATATTTCTTGGGAATTAAGGTTGTTAGATCTAAGCAGGGTATCTCTTTATCGCAATGGCAGCATGTCTTGGATCTTCTTCGAGACACGAGTATGCTTGGGTGTAAACCTGCTTCCACTCCTATGGATCCTAATATGAAGATCTCGGCTGAGTCTGGAGATCTCCTTTCTGATCCCTCGCAATATCAGCGCTTGGTAGGAAGATTGATTTATCTTACTGATAAGCGCTGAAAAGTGTGTTCTAGGACCTTATTCTATCTTATTTTCCCCGTTTTAGTATTAATTTATGTTTTTGTCTATTTTTAGGTCAATAAGGTTCAAACGGGCTAATTTCTGTCCATTAAGGCCTTTTTGGAGTCAAACTAAGTCTTGGTGAGAAGCTGGAGCAAAAGGAGGCTGATGCTGAAAACTGCCTAGTTGGAACGATCGTGTGAACGATCGAACCCTGGACGATCATATCTCTGAACGATCAAACCAACTCTGAACGATCAAACCATACCTCTGAACGATCGAACCATACCTCTAAACGATCACACTGTTGGTTGAATCAATCGAACCGTTCGCAGAAGTTATAAAAAAGCAGATCTAAAGCTCATTTGGAACCAACTCGGGCTGTGCTTGAAAGGGGAGATCCTAGGGCCGAGTTCTCACATTTTTTGGGCTCTAAAAGCCTTGTATATAAGAGGGATTGAACCATTTTTGTAAGGAGATTCATATTTTTGCATTGTAATTTCTATATTATTGTAGTTTCTCTCTCTAGAAAGTTAGATATT